GCGTACTGCTCCCAACCGCCCTGAAATCCACAGCGATGTATTAGGTCGTGGCAAAAATAATGACCGTTTTCGCACCTGCTATGTTCCACTGATCATAATTCATTGAAAACTTAGGCAAATATAGTAATTTAATATATCGTTCGGAAGCACATTTTTCAAGCTATCGTACAAATTTTTTCCCGTTTCTCTGCCACCATTTCTTCTACGATTTTGGGTCACCCGCGAAGATGTTGTCAAGACGCGAAATCCGACTCATCATGCTTCACGAGTACAAACTCGGCCGTAATGCTGCGGAAGCAGCTAGGAATATCACCAACGCATGGGGCGAAGGTACTACAAATGAGCGCACCACGCGTAGGTTCGACAAATTCCGAAATGGAGACTTCAACCTGGAAGATCAGGAGGGACGCGGTCGGCCATCGGAAGTTAAAGACGACGAATTGAAGGCACAGATAGAAGCCAACCCAAGAGCATCCACAAGGGAAATTGCTGAAGAGCTGGGAGTTGACTTCGGAACTGTAGCACGTCATTTGAAGAAAATTGGGAAGGTAAAAAACTTGACAAGTGGATCCCGCATGAGTTGACTGAGCACCAGCAATCTCGTCGTCTCGAAGTCTGTTCGTCTCATCTTTTGCGGAACAAAAACGATCCTTTTCTGCAACGCATTGTGACGTGTGACGAAAAATGGATTCAATACGACAATAGACGACGGTCAGGACAGTGGTTGGATCACGACGAAGCTCCTAAACATTTTCCAAAGCCGGAGTTGCACCAAAAAAAGGTCATGGTGACTGTTTGGTGGTCTACAGCCGGTTTGATCCACCACAGCTTCCTGGCTCCAGGAGAAACCATCACAGCGGAGAAGTACTGTGAGGAAATCGAAAAATGCACCAAAATTGCATCGGACAGCCGGCATTAATCAACAGAAAGGGCGCGATCCTACTCCATGACAACGCCCGACCGCATGTTTCATTGATGACAACAAAAAAACTGATGGAGTTGGGATATGAAACTCTCGACCATCCTCCATACTCACCAGACCTTTCCCCTACGGATTATCACTTTTTCAAGCATCTCGAAATTTTCTTACGCGAGAAATGCTTCCGAAACCAAGACGACGTAGAAAGGCATTCAACGATTCTGTCGGTCCCAGAATTTTACGCTGCCGTATATCTAAACTGCCTTCTTGTTGGCAGGAATGTGTTGATTCTTTTGGTCGTGATTTCGATTGAAAAGCAACACTTTGAAAGCTGTCCTAATTAGAGCCCAAAATATACTGCTTGAGGATTCGAGCTCATTTTATGTACTGCTTGGAGAGTTACACATGGTTTACGATGTGTCATCCATGCACAATGTTGTTCTAACAATGAGTGTTTTATTGGATGTTCACTTTTAATGATTTTTTCAAGTCAAAATTTCACAAAGTCCAGTATTCGAATGTGGGATTTCTATCCCTTGCACTTCATCAACGAGTTGACCAAAGATATTTCTGATTTTTTTATGCTTCCCACATTCAGACAGTGTATCACCAGGCGTGTACCATTTCTGT